AGGAGACATTCATGCTTCAATCAACCAGGGTCCCTGCTGATAACCTAGGGGAGAAGTCAACAAACATTTTCTATAAATGAACAGATAGTAAATATTTTAGGTTGTCCTATAGTTTCTATCTCAAATATTCAACTCAATTATTATAATGTGAAAGTAGCCATACACAAAAATAAATAAATACATGTGACATATTTACCAAAACATGTGTGGGCTGGATTTGGCCTGCAGACCATGGTTATCTGACCCTGGATCTGAGACAGTTAAAGACCACAAATTTCCTTAGTAGTGGGACTAAACTCTTCCCAGAATCAAGGTCACTTTAGATGTCTGCTCTAACAAAGCTTTAAAAAAATAGTTCACAAATTATGGAAGGATAGCAGGAAAGTAAAGACTCTGAGCTATGGGCATACCTTCTCCACATATTTGTAACCAAGTTACACTGAAACAAAGAAAGTGACTCCTGAAAGATGAAGAGGTAATTACTGTGTGCATCAAGAGGAACATGGCAGAAAGGGGTAGGAAAAACTAATTCAACTGTCGGGGCCTTCCCAGGGGCACAGTGGGTTGAGCGCTGCACTGTGGGGCTGTCTGCAGCCTCTGCAGTGCAGATTTGATTCCCGGCTGGCCAGGGAGAAACCCACATGGCATGGCATACCTCTCCTGCCTCTGACCTGTACCCCAGTTCTTGTATAAATAAATAAATCTTAAAAAAACTAATTTCACTGTCTAGAGTAATATCAGGGCAGTACAATCCAAAAGAGCAAGAGGCATCTGCTGTTCAGATTCTCTGCTGTTGTTGATTGTAGGTCTCACTCTCCCATCAGGGACTTTAGAACCTGGGGACTATACTGGAGAAGGGAATGCAGAATTGTGTAGAATATAGGGTGCAGCACCTGAGAATATAGGAATAAGGGGATAGAGAGTTGAGGCAGAAGGCTGGAATAGTAGTTGGATGCCAGCAGATACAGATGTTATACTCCTGCAAAGCAATAAGGTATCCTGAGTCAAAAAGCAAAACACTTTGTTCCACTACATTGGGGAGCCTGAGGACCATGGACAGTCTTGGCAACTGCTAGCATGAAGTCTGTGAGGTGGTGGCTGCTGGCATGAGCCAATGGCTCCCAAATGAGAATAGCTGGAACCTGAACAGCTGGGAAGGACTAGATTGGATGGTGCCCCTTTACGGAAGAGGCTATCATCTGCATACTGTGGCTGTGTTAGGCCAAACCCCTACCTTACGGCCACCAAGGGCAGGCCAAAGCGTAGATAATAACTAAATAATATACTTTTATTTTTTTAGGTGTTTTTTTTTTTTTTTTTTTTTATAGAGGCATGTTTTATTTATTTATTTGTTTGTTTGTTCGTTTGTTTCGTTTATACATGCACTGGGTACAGTCAGAAGCACAGGAGGGTGAGAGAATTCACTAGAGCCAGAGCGGGGAGCAGAGCAGGCAGAAGGACCGAGGTACACTGCTGAGGGGAGCAGCGGGCGGCAGGAGAGGTCTGCGCGCCATGTGGGACCCTCCTCTGATGGCCGGGGAGCAGCCGGGGATCGAACCGGCGCCGCAGAGGCTGCGGGCAGCTTCGCAACCCAGCACTCAACCGCTGCGCCACCGGGGAGGCCCAATAATATACTTTTATTAACCAGAGTTCAAAGCACCTGGTCCTAACCACATGAATAAGAGCCCTCTGCAGGGTAAGACTGTACCTGAAAGGCAAAAAGAATAAATTCCAACCTGTGTCCCTGTTTTGACCATACTCCCCTTTTACAGCTATTTTTACTGCTTAACCACACTTTATAGGTTGAGGCTGGCACAAAACAGTTCATCACATTTTGATTGAGGATAAAGGAAAAGGGAATAATGTGGAGCTCCACCACCCAATTTGGATAACCATCGCTCTTTAAAAGGCTTGACTTCCTGCCTAGGCATCTCTGATTATTTATAGAAGTATCATTACCACCTTCCTTTCAACATAATAGGTAGTGACTTATAACCTCAAATAACACGAGTTGTAATATAAATTAGTCATGTGTGAGTCATGAATACATTTCCTACAAATTATACTGCAGAAAAAATGCAGCGGAAGAGAATGGCTCTATTTAAATACAAGATATAAAAAGTGATATTCAATATTTTCTCCTACAAAGACTATCATTTAAAAAGAATCTTGGGGTGTCTCCCAGGAGCCTCCCAGATGGTATAGGTAAGAAATTTCAGTGCTTTTATGCTATCACTGCTTTAGCCTGGGTTCCATCCCCAGACAGGGAGCAAGCCCACATAAAGTGCAGCAGACCTCTCCTGTCTCATTTACTGCTCCCCTTAGTAGTGTATTTCAGTAAAATCCACCTGTTCTGCTCTCCACTCAGTGGTGAATCCTCTCACCCCTGCTCCTCTGGCCTTCACCCCAGTTCTTCTACACATAAATAAGTAAATCTTTAAAAAGAATTTTGGACTTTTTTTTAGCACAGTACATTATCCATCATGATTTTATTTATACAAGAACTGGGGTATAGGCCAATGCCAGGGAGGGTGAGAGGATTCACAAGAGACAGAGTGGGGAGCAGAACAGAAGGCAGACTGACAAAATACACTGCTGAGGGGAGCAGTGGGTGAGACAGGCGAGGTCTACTGCGCCATGTGGGATTCTCACCAGCCACTGGCGGGGATGGAACCCGAGGTGCAGTCTGGACAGCTTCACAGCACAGCGCTGAACTGCCTGCACCACCAAGGAGGCCCCCCATCATGATTTCTTTCTGGTAATAGTTAAGAGGATAGCCTTCAAAATTAGGCTTCCAAGACTTGAATCCTTTCTCTGCTATTCATCAATTACATGATTTGTACAAATTATTTACTCTCTCTGGGCCTCAGCCTCCTCATATATAAAATGGACATGATAGTAGTATTGATTTTGTGGGTTGGTTTTGAGGGGATAACATGCAAAGTTATGCTTCACATAGCTCTTAAACATAGAGCTTAGAGCAATACTATTATTTTGACAAATACTCCAGTGTCTTTGTGGAAACAATCTAATTTTGTCCAGTATTTTATTTTTTAAAGATTTATTTATTCATGCATACAAGACATGGGGTACAGGCCAGAGGTGTGGGGGGTGAGACAGAGAGGGGAACAGAATGGGCAGACTGACTGAAATACACTGCTGAGGGGAGCAGCGGGCGAGTCAGGAGAGGTCTGCCACGCTTTGTGGGTTAGTTCCCTGACTGGTGAGGGGTTGAACTCGTGCTGCAGAGGCTGTGTGTGGACAGCTTCACAGGGCTGTGCGGAACCCTTTGTGCCACCAGGGAGGCCCTTGCCCACTATTTTAAATAACAAATTTAAGTGAAATTATTAAAACATGAAGTAATTGCCTGGGGTTCTGCAGTTTCTCACAAGTCAAGCTAGTTCATAATGATGTCCTAAGACTGCTACACTTTAATGATAATTTACTTGATTTTTATTTCAGTACTATTAGTCTCATCTTGAAACTACTACTTATTAACTATGTTAACTAAACTTTTACTTTAGCTGACCTTTTTTTTTTTAAAGATTTATTTATGCATACAAGAGCTGGGGTGCAGGCCAGAGATGGGGGGGGAGGGGTGAAAGGATTCACCAGAGACTGAATGGGGAGCAGAACAGACAGATGTACTGAAATACACTGCTGAGGGGAGCAGTGGGTGAGACAGGAGAGGTCTGCTGCGCCATGTGGGTCACCTCCCTGGCCAGGGATCTAACTCTTGCTGCAGTGGCTGTCGATTGCTTCATAGTACTGAGTCTTAAACCCCTTGCGCCACCAGGGAGGCCCCTTAGGTGACCTTTTTTTGCTTGAAGAAGTGAAAGATGAAAGACTTCATTCTGAAGTCTTCAGCTGCTTAGGATATGGCTACCTGTTCCCTTTCCCACCTTGGTCAGAAGCAAAAAGGAAAAATGCTTATATGAAAATAAATAATATTTTAATAGCAAGTAATACGTATCTTTGGTTTCAACATATTGCATAAGATTTTGTAATCAGGTGATAAAACGTTCTTCTCTCCCTTAAAACTAGTAGAGACACAGACTTTCACCTCCTTTCATTCTTTTTATGTTTATGGCATCCTTTTCTCCTGTATTCCACGTTCAAGTCTTGTCATCCTTGACCCTTGTACCCTACCCCAGCTTGTCAACATTACTTCCTTATTTCTCTCCCATCTGCTCCTCTTGTCCCTTCTAAATACTGCTATTCCTTTGTCTCTTATTCTGCCAGTTCCACCAACCCCACTATTTCGTGTATTTCCAAGGAAAGACACGTCTGAGAAATACGAAATGATTCTTTACCACATATAGCCCAGCTACACGCAAGGCTTTCCAAGACTACCCACCTCAAGGCGTCTACGGCGCAGCCAACCTGTATTGCTCTACTTACTATTTCCAGTTCCCACCAGCTCATTTCCCCCCCTGTTATTCTCTTTGGCATGTTTATCTTCTTTTTGTTGGCCTCTCCATTTCTCAGGTGAAAAAACTGAGAATTTGACTATGACAGTGCCTGTGGTGGGATAGGAATCCAAGTTTCTCTGATCCAGGCTTTTACTCCTCAATACTTTAGAATGCATCTCTTAAAACAAGGCTATTCTCTCACATCACCACACTGCAGTGATCAAATTCAGGAAATCACACCGATGTGGTGCCCGACCAGGACTGACTGGATGAGACAAAAGAGGGTGTTTGTCTTTCCCAGTTCCACTGGCCTTCGGAAAAAAAAACGTACAGCCGGCTGAAGCCACTGGGGTGCGGGGACCCGGGTGCTGGGGTGAATCCAGGCGGAGGAGTCCTCCCCAAAGCCCTCACTCGGCGCAGGGCCCGCTGCCTCGCTCACCGGGGCGGGGAGGCAGCCTCACCTCTCTGCGCGCGCCGGAGCGGGCGCCGCCCATCCCGGCTCCAGCAGCGCCCCGGCCGGAGAGCTCCCTCCCGGAGCCGGCGGCCCCCCGCCCCCGCGCTCCGGCCCGGTGCTTAGTCACCGTGAGGCTGCACTTGCCCGGGGCGCGCGCCCGCTCCTTCCCCGGGGACCCGCCCCGGGGCGCCTCCCCCCGCCCCCCGCGCACTTCCGCGTGCATGGCCCAGCTGGCCCGGGCCCTGAGCGCGAGCGCGGGGCCCTGCTGGCGGCGGGCCGCGAGCACCTTCGGCCGTTCCCCGCGAGCCCGGCCCGCCCGCGCCCTCCCCGGCGCCATGGAGTGCAGGCAGGAGCCTCAGCCGCGCTGCCCGCCGCCCGCCGCCGACGCCGTGGCCTCCTACGACTACCTGGTGATCGGGGGCGGCTCGGGCGGACTGGCCAGCGCGCGGCGGGCGGCCGAGTTGGGCGCCAGGGCCGCGGTGGTGGAGAGACACAAGCTCGGCGGCACTTGCGTGAGTAACCGGCCCCCCCGCCCCGCGCGCCGCGCGCCTCTCTGTAGCGCTGCGCCCCGGCGCCCCGCTTTCTCCTCGCCCTTCGCGCAGCGGCGAGTCGCCTCTTTCCTGCAGCCACTCGCCGCTCCAGGCCCCGCAAACGACTTCTTGCGCTGTGCTTTCCGCGTTCCCGCCCTCATTTGAGATCGAGGTCGGCAGCCTGCAGGTTAAGGTGACAGAAATGTAAAGGACTTCCTTGTAGCGCCCCCCACCCCTCACCCCCCAAACTAAATCTTCGTCTGTTCCAGCCCGGCTGGCTTTGACAGAAGTCGTTGGTAGACAAATGTGAGCTGACTTAACTGCATCCTCACTCTTTGAGGTGGAAGAGTATTGGATTCCATGCTTGATTTCACCTGGTCCATGAAACCTAAAAATGCATGGTGAAAATTGCACCTGGTTTGTGTGTATGTGGCAGGGAGGGAAAAGAAGGGCTCGGGTAAAATGTCCTGGAGGAATGCGGGTCCTGCTTTCCTCCTTTTCATTTCAAGGGCAGAATGATTTACAGTGGTGGTTCTCTTCCCTTGGTTGCACATTGAGGAGCTGAAAAAATTCTAGTGCCCTGGTGGAGCCTCAGCTATGGGGGGTGGGGGAGATGGTTTAGAGGCTCCACAGTGATTCTGAATTGCAGACAAGGTTGAGAAGCACGGACTATAGGTTGCCTTGATGTACGACTTACTATTAAGTGAATTCTCAGACCTTTTGCTTTTGTCTGTCTTGTTTTGGTTTGTCTGGCCTCCTCTGCCCCCCAAAAAGTCCTGTGATTGAGAAACGTCGTCACATTAAAAAATAAATTTTGTTTCCGAGTTACTGGTGTGATCTTTCACAAGACTTGGGTGAGGTATTTATTGTTGATATTAAAATGCTGTATTAGACTAATTTGAGATTTGGGAATAAGTTTACTAAATTCCTTTGTAGGCTTTAAATTACACTAAATTGGGAACGCCTTTAGAACAGGGATGGGTTCCTGGATTTATGCACCTCTCATCACCTTCACAAAATACCTTGCTCAATAATCTTGGGTGAAATGAATGAAACTCAAAACTGACAGCTATGAAAGGGCTGACTCCATTGTCCAATGCTCAGTTTTCAAGTTCAGAATGTGATGGCAATGAGGAAATGAAACTCCTTGTTGATTATCAACCCTGCACCTTGACTGCTTAGCTAGAAAGATTCTATTGGAAGTCTGTCTCTGCAGAAACTAGATTGGACAGTTGGTGACTCTCTGGACAGTAGGTGAGAGCACTTGCTAAGTGCTCATCTTTGTACTTCTGTTTTTCTGTTTCCTCCTTCCCCATTTATGTCATAATCACCTTGTGGCATCTGTAGTCATTGGCTGCATCAGTATTTTTTAATATATATTTTATTTTTATTATTTATTTTTTAAAGATTTATTTTTATTTATGCATACAAGAAGTGGGTTGTAGGCTAGAGATGCTGGCCGTGTGTGTGTGTGTGTGTGTGTGTGTGTGTGTGTGTGAGAGAGAGAGAGAGAGGACTCACCAGAGACAGAGTGGGGGGGGAGCAGAACAGGCAGATCTACTAAAATATACTGCTGAGGGGAGCAGCAGGCAAGGCAGGAGAGGTCTGTCTTACCATGTGGGTTAGCTCCCTAGCTGGGCATCGAACTCATACTCAACTCGAACTCATAGCAGTGGCTGGTTATAGCTTGATAGGGCTGACTTAAACCCCTGTGCCACCAGGGAAGCCCCTATATACATTTTAAAAGGACAGGTTTATTCAGAAAAAGGAGAAAGAAAGAGACACCTACATAGTCACAGGTGGGCAACAGGGCTGTCTCTGCTTGCACCAGTAGTAATCAAGAAGGGCCTGCCCTGTCTTCAGGTTCCTGTTGGGTCTGGGGATACATTAGATAAACGCCTTCTGAGAGGAAGCTGAAGGACAGCTCAGCACAGTCAGACATTACTGTTGTCTTGCAGTGTGCTTGACTTGCTTATCCATGCTACTGGAACAACTTTTATTTTTCTGTGAGCAATGATAAAATTGAGGAAATCAGCTACCTAACATTTTTATGACTTGGGTTCTCGTCACAGTGACTTTTGGAATTACAGGGAAGGGTGTAGGTATATGTTGAATATCATAAAAGTTACAACCGATTGATAAGACATGAATTTTGATTTGTTATCAGTACTATCCACAGTTGCAGTAATACATTTATATGCAGTAATTTTTGTACATGTTTTCATTTCTTGTATTTCTAGTGCTCAGTATTTGGATTGAGGCTGAGAGATAGGGTAGATACAAACACTTGTAACACGAAGATCTTGGCACTCAATTGTAATAGAGAGCAAAATGTAGACTGTAGTCTGTATTAATTGCATCAGTTACTAGTTGAAAAAGAGAGTTGGAATTATCTCTGCATGGGCACCATGATATGGATTTTTATAGGAGATAGTATGTTTATGAACTTAAACAGAAGAATTATCAGTTTTTGACAGGGTAGGGTCAGGGGTAAAGGCATTGAAGTGGGGTATGTTGTATAATGGAATTTCACTGGAGCAGAGCATTTCTTATAGAAATGAGATGGGAAGCTGATGGATAGGTAGTTAAAAGAAAAGTGTAGCTTCTGAAAGCACAGTGAACTGTAGAAATATTTTGAGCAGAAGAGTAATGACACAATAAAAGTGAATTTGTGCCCGGGGTACTGTTGAGAGCTGCCCCTTGGGGAAGTCAGAAGTTTTGTTATTATTAACTCTCCAATTTTTTTTCTAAATAAATATATTAATTCTGAAGCTTCGTAAAATTTTTAAATTGCCATGGATGAACTCACACAGAATGTTTAAATTAGAATCTTACTCTATCGGTGGTTATTTCCAGGTAGTAGGATTATGTTTTGTTTTTGTTTATATTTGCTTGCTCATTATTTTACATGCCAGTTACATAGGTACTTTTTTTTTTTTTTAAAGATTTATTTTATTTATTTATACAAGCACTGCGCACAGTCAGAAGCGCAGGAGGGTGAGAGAATTCACCAGAGCCAGAGGGGAGAGCAGAGCAGGCAGAAGGACTGAAGCACACTGCTGAGGGGAGCAGCGGGCGGCAGGAGAGGTCTGCGCGCCATGTGGGACCCTCCTCTGGTGGCCAGGGGAGCAGCCGGGGATCGAACTGGGCTGCAGAGGCTGCGGGCAGCTTCACAACCCAGTGCTCAACCGCTGTGCCACCGGGGAGGCCCAACATAGGTACTTTTTTAGATGCTGGAGCACAGCCGCAAACAAAGCAAATAAAATTCCTGTCCTCTGGAGCTTACATTTGTAGTTGTTATCTGTAGTTTCTAAATTTTCCGTGTATCATTTTGTAACAAATAAAAATACAAGTTTTTAATTTTTTGCTTAAAACCTTCCTCCATACAAGTTTAGAGTCATGGAATGGTAGAGCTTGACCTGATTTTGGAAATCCATTAATCCATTGTGACTATTTTGTTTGTTTGTTTTTTAAGTGGGAATGTGAGCTTGTTGACTTTTAAAAAGTTTATCATTTTTAACAAAAATGGTGTTTTAATAAAATGTAGGAAGTTTATACCTGACAGTAAAGGGTAGTCCTTTAAGTTGAATTCTGTTAGGTTTTTGAAACAGGTACTACGTGGGACCCCTTTATCATTTTAAGAAGTGGGCTTGGGAATCTTCACAGGAATTTGTGTTGTTTTAGTCCCGCACTCTCATTTACCAAGGAACAAATTGTTTGTCAGTTAAAATGTAACTGAAAATAAACTAAGTGTGGGGGGAAAAAACAAACCTGGGAATTGGCAGTACACCTATCAGAAACCATGGTTTTGGTGTAATTGTATGGAGTAATCTGTGAATATTTTTTTTAAGCATTGGCCTCAACTACGGGGCAGAAATCTTTTCCTTGCTTCTTAGCATCAGCCATCATTTACTTTAAAAACACTTGGTGATGGGTCAACTTTATGGGTCTTCACCCTGGAGCTTTTGATTTAGTAGGTCTGGGCTGAAGCCCCAGCAGATGTATTTTTAAAGAGCTCTATTCTTATTCTTGTGTGCATGAACCAGATACAATGCCCATGGCTTCGTGGGAAGCAGGGGCTATGTGAAGACTTTCCTGGTTCAGGAGAGAGTAGGGGGGCACCTTTACAATGGGAAATTTATATTCTGTTCTTAGGTACAATGGGGAAGACAGAGTTCCTCCTGTCTGCTGTTTCTTAATTACCTTCAGCTCAAAATAATCCTTATGCCAAAGGGATGGCACATCCTGACCCCCTTCGGTCCAAAGTAGAAGTAACAGGGACATAACTACTACTAAACTTGATAGTCTTTGGATCAGGGAAATAAATGTAGTTATTTGGTATCAGGTTCCATGTCAAAAATAGGAAACTGAAAGAAATCATTTATTTAAGATAAGGAATCTTATGTTTAAGGAATTTCTCAGAGGAGTAAAAAGTACATGAGATGATCTTTGATTTTGTTTTTGGAGTCTCAAAAAGCTAAATATAGCACTTCTCTTGATCAAAAGTAGATTAAGAAGAAATGCAAAGAATGCTCAAAGCCACATGTGAATTAGAGCTTTGTCTCTGCAGTTCAGGTCTGCCTACGCAGAGGTGGGAAGTGTCAGCTTGAGGAGAAGTTCTTTCTGATGTACTGCTCCCTTTGCCCCAGGGCCTGTGGGAGCACATGTTCCCATATCTTGCTGAGTGTACTGATTCTCTGATACAGAGTATCCACCTGCTTATCTCATAGTGTGCAGTTCTGCCAATGAGGATGGGGCAGTAAGTATTGATCACCATTTTTTTTTTTTAAATTGAGGTATAATTGACAGTATAATATGGTATTGGTTTCAAGTGTACAGCATCATGATTCAATATTTATATTGTGAAATAATCTCAATAAATCTGGTAACATTTGTAATCAGATATAGCAGCAAGCTTTTTTTCCCTGTGATGAGAACTTTTAAGATCTATTTTTAAATATAGTCACCACACTGTACATTAC